ATTATGCCCGTCCGTATCCTGGCAACCAGTCATTGTTCTGTGTTGTCTGTATTTATAATACCGTTTTAGGTCACTTCCCCTCAATCCATTTTTTTTCTACCTCTGCATAGGAGTCCTAAATTAACAAAAGAGTCCTAAATTAACTACGTGTCACAATGAAAATTTCTTCCAGTGCTGTATCCAGAGCCCAAACACATATGCAGCGAGATTTTTTTATCGTTATCAATTGTGATGCTGAAAGTTTAATAAATGATTTAGGAATTATTCTAAGCAACAAGACGGTGGAATCTACGGTGGCATAAAAGGGACTTAGGATTTTTCTTATTTATTATATGACCATGCATAAGCTTTTACGTGGCCACTCGATACTTTTACGAGCGACGCGATAGCTATTACGTTCAAAAGGAATAGTTATTGCGTGCGCACGCGATAACTTTTGCATGCGCACGCGGATAGGTATATTGCATTTGGACCCTGGACGGGCTTACACGCATGAATAATTCCACGCTCCGAATGAGTGTCAAACCTATAGCGGTTAAGAGCAAATAGTTTTTTTTTAAATCACCCGGCTACGGAGACCCGTAAGTGATCTAAGGAAGAAAATGAAATGACCATCCCACACGTATTTTGTTTTCATCAGAAACATAAAAAATCGCCATTTTTAGAGAAGTGCTGCTTTCAGATCCGCCATTGAAAAGCACTTACAACGTGCATGAGTTCCTAAAAGAATCTTGGTAATGCAATATAATACTGAAATACCGGACCTTGCAGAATCGGGCGAAACGCGAAATTCCGATGAGACCAGAAGCGAGGCACGATACTGTAACACGAGATTTTGCAATGTTGAAGTATCCTGTACCACGAAATTTCACGGCTCACTCCATGTTTTGCCGGGATGTCGCTTTTCCTGTCTCTCGCGCATCGCTTTGTGCATGTGCTTCTCAAATGCCTGACTATGACAAAGGAACCTAGCGCGGGAGCCATCTGGGCTTGTTGACAGGTTATTGACACTTTTTACACTGTGTGGCTTTAGACGTCAACATTTCAGCTATTTTCTGTTTAAATTTCATCATAGAAGGTTTTTGAAATTTCGATTTGGTTAAGTGAGTTTCAATTTTAGTTATGGTTGTTCTTCATTCACGACATTCTTAAAGGGTTTTGCAGTAACAAATATGACGCTAGAAATTTTCTTTAATTTTCTGTCATCATTTTATATCAGTTTCATCATAACTCTTTAAAATGGGATTAGGATTTGTTTTTTTATAGAATACAAAGGGAATACTATTTAGCGGGTATATTGCCTCTTTTGCGTCGACGTACGAGATTCGAAGCGAGACGCGAGATTTCGGCGAGACGCAAAACGAGTCACGATAATCTATTGTATCGTTCAAATATCGCACGATTACAGTGATCCGTAAAATTTTTGTCTCCCTGAAACCGTTATGCACGATGGTACAATGGTGATTTGAAACGCGAAGGTATGATGTTGAAAATACGACGGCATGATGATGAAACAACGATAGCATGATGGTGAAATCACAAAGATGCGATGACACGATGATGAAAATAATATCACATTTTCAACATCGTGCAATTGCAAGTTCATCATTGTACCATCGCATTTTCACCATCGTACCATCACATTTTCATAATCGTGTCATCGCTGTTTCACTATCGTACCATCGTTGTTTCACCGTCGATCTTTGTTTTACGTTCGTACTATCGTGTTTTCACCATCGTACCATCGCGTTTTCATCATCATGCCATTGTGTCATCGCGCTGTTTGTTACACATACCATCGTGAACGGGATTCCGTATGTTTCGGTGTTCGCCTTCAGGTTTATCCAATCAAAATTTCATTAATTTGAGATATTAGAATTAATACTTCCACTGTAGGTTTAAGGTTTAAGATTTCATATAAAAAAAACATTTGCAGACCTATTGTTGATAAGTTTATTTCTCAGAATATATATACATTTTACAATTTACAATATACAGACAGCAATATTCAAATATTTTTCAAAAACAGGATTAGAATGAAAGACAACATGTCTTATGAAATTCTTCTCCTATTGTTGATTACATTTGACATGAGGTAAAACGTCGAACCTCGAAAAAAAAACTTGATCGGAGCACATTTGTCACACGAATAAGCTTTTTGGGTAGACATTTGAGGTCCCATTTGTCACACGAATAAGTTTTTTGGGTAGACATTTGAGGTCCCATTTGTCACAAGAATTAGTTTTTTGGGTAGACATTTGAGGTCCCATTTGTCACACAAATAAGTTTTTTGGGTAAACGTTTGAGGTCCCATTTGTCACACGAATAAGTTTTTTTTTTTGGTAGACATTTGAGGTCCCATTTGTCACACGAATAAGTTTTTCGGGTAGACATTTGAGGTCCCATTTGTCACACGAATAAGCTTTTTGGGTAGACATTTGAGGTCCCATTTGTCACACAAATAAGTTTTTTGGGTAGACATTTGAGGTCCCATTTGTCACAAGAATTAGTTTTTTGGGTAGACATTTGAGGTCCCATTTGTCACACAAATAAGTTTTTTGGGTAAACGTTTGAGGTCCCATTTGTCACACGAATAAGTTTTTTTTTTGGTAGACATTTGAGGTCCCATTTGTCACACGAATAAGTTTTTCGGGTAGACATTTGAGGTCCCATTTGTCACACGAATAAGTTTTTTGGGAAGACATTTGAGGTCCCATTTGTCACACGAATAAGTTTTTTGGGTAGACATTTGAGGTCCCATTTGTCACACGAATAAGTTTTTTTTGGTAGACATTTGAGGTCCCATTTGTCTCACGTAGGACAAATTCGACATCGGTCTTTCGTAAGACAATTGTGCTCCGAGACAAATGTGTTCCTACAATGCTTACATAAATCCAATAACAATAAACCGTTACTATTTAAATTATCCTTATCTTGGGAAGAACGATTAATATTTTCATCAATAGAATAATCATCTGGTCCAAGATGAGAAAAATTATCATCAGCTACACAATCAGGGTTATTTGAAGTACGCAAGTTTAAATCTCCGCATAAAACACAATTTAAACCATTTTCTTATTTTGAATCTAAGGTAATTATATGATCCAACAGTACGTAAAGCCTATGTTGGCAAGATGGACATAACGGTATAAAACTTGTATCGTTATGTTAATTATTACGGTAAGTATTGTTTGATATGACAATGGTTATATTTGGGTTCATTACAATACCAAAATTAAAATCGATTTTGTTAAACTTAATTTTTTTTTACGTTGATAACAGTAATGTTTACAAATATAAATCAAGGGAAATAACGGCTATGGTTCCTTACATGTTATCTTTGCATGGTATAGTTTGCCGTTGAAAGAAATATAGCACTTCATGAAAAGTGCACATATGATGTTGTATATTTGTATGTATGTTCTTTTTTTATTTGTTTTCCTTTTGTTTTATTTTCGATGACAATTCAAAAATGATTTTTCAAGGATAGGGAAATAGCGACATAAGAGGGTTGTTCAATCACTAAGCTTTTCACTCAGAGGTATAAATATGTTCAAATAAGAAAGTAAAGGTATTGTTTATTATAGTGCCTCCCCTACTGTAAGGGCCAGTCATTTTTGACTTATGAGACACCTTTTGCTTGCATACCATGTACCTTCCAACTCCTACCACTATGCCATGCGCCATGCGGATAGAAATCGGTAACCATTCATTTTGACCACCTTGCGGCTATCGAATCGGCCATTTCGGAACAAATCCCATGATAAACATTCACCCATTAATTAACGCACCCCGTATGACTCGAACCTACGATCTCCCTATCCATATGCGGACGCCTTAATCACTAGGTCAACGGTGACGGTTAAAATCAGTGTTGCATTGACACTACTCTCCTGCGCATCGGTCGAATGTTCCACTATCGCTCACTTCTCAATAGAGACTTTATGGTATACGGTATTTTTTCATATATCTAAAAAATGTTTGAAAATCATTTTTATCGTTGTAATAGATGTCCCATTCGTGTTTAAATATTAAAATAGTTTTGGTAGAGTGTTTACAGGGGCGTATCACGTTGGGGGGCAAGATCTGACCTCCAAGCGTCTGTGGAAGAAAGTGATTTGAGTACGAGAAAGGTGGGGGTTTCTTTGTACTTTGTAAAAGCTAGAGGTGGTTGTATTGGTAGTTTTCACTACGGGTCATGACAGTAAGCCACAATGAATTCACCAGAGCACTATTCAACCACCACATCGTTCCTTGGCAGGCTGTCAAGCAGTTTACCAGTACTAGTTGCATTCACTTTCGCAAGGAATTGAAACTTCTGTACGTGCCAGAGCAGAGGTACAGTGTGAATGACCGTAGAAAGGATTTCATTATCAATCACAACGAAAATGGCTGCGCCGTCCGGGAATCGAACCCGGGTCGCCCGATTTATTGTTCTACCTTTTGAGCTTACCGGGCGGCTTTAAAAATTAGAATTTCCGTATGCCAAATTTATAGCTTACTGACATACTGTCAGCCTCGGGGCGTTCAGTACCGTACAGATCTTACTTGTTAACGGTAATGGGTTTCTTCTTGTCCCATATAATAATAAACAGCTGTGGTTTCGTCAAGAATGATAGATGATGTGTTTTAAAATATGGAAATAATCAATAACCAATTTTAATAACAACTCAATCAAAGAGTACAACATGTGTTTTACATCTAAAACAAATCGGTAGATATACTTTTATAGTTAGATTTTATTGACCTGTTGTCAAAAATGAATACATTATAACACTTATGCAAATATTCGATCCAACTTCGGTAATATATCCGTGTAGTTTACGATAATTAATATGGAATCTATAAATATTGTTTTGAAAAGTTACACTAGCTTAATAAGAAATATACGTGTCATGACAAAACCAATATAATGGGTTTGCGACCGCGCAGTCTGATCAGGATCCATGCTGTTCACTTACAAACCCTATAACAAGTGCAGAATAGCATGGATCCTGATCGGACTGCGCGGATGTGCAGGCTGGTCTGGATCCATGCTTGTCGCAAACCAATTATGTTGGTTTTGTCGTGACGCGGCTCATATATCGTTATCACATCCGGTGAAGTGATTGCCTTTTATACGAGTGTTTAGTAGTCAGAGGATAACTGTTGTCATATTTTTCTCTTTCTTTATTTTTGAAGAATTCTTTAATAGAAAATTGCCAAGTGTTTGCGAAAATGTAGAACAAACAAGCTAGTAGTTCTCCCTTTTGCGTTAAAACGCTCAGTTTAAATATTTTACAGAAACAAATAAATTGAAACACATTTTATAGGGAACACCTCACGAGCGTTGCCGAAAATCTATCGAAGATCTATATGTGCATTAATTGTATATGACAGGTTAATAAAATCAAACAGTCCGAGGTTATTGTGAATAATAGCCGAGGAATTCGGATTAGGCCAAACAATAATGATAAATTATTTCCTGTTTCGAGTAATAATTTGCCCCTTCTTATTTCCCCCTCCGTGATAACGCTTTGTTTACATATTTTTAATGTAAAATTTATGATTTTAAAACGGTTCAAACATGTGAAACAAACATCGTTCTTGGTGTCTGTTCATGCAATGAACAATAGGCGAAATATCGCCCCCGAAACTCTTAGGGTCCAGACCAGAATAGTTTTGTATCAAAATAGAAATCCGAAAAACTAGATCAGACTGCTGAGACATTAACTTTAAAGTCCCAAAACTGTAACTTACCCCACCTTCCTGCCCCCACCCTTCCCCGGAATTTGTAAATATTTGTCCATTCCCAAACTATATATATGGTGCCTCATATATACAGTTGTTATGTGCATAATACAGTTCTTATTGCCATTTTGAAGTTATATATTTACATTATCAAATATGTTTCGTATGTTTTGAAGAAGGAAAATGTTTATTTTCAAGCATACAATGTATTAAATATAACAATGGAAAAGATCGTTTTGTATATGAATTTATGCAATTATTAAAACATATTTTAGCTGCAGTTATGCATTGTTAAAGTTAAACATAGCATCTGAATATAGTGTTACATATATATCTACTTCTTATTCGCCCTATGCATTATCAGATCCAAAGCATGCAAAATTAAAGTTATTAAACGCCTCAGCCTTTTATATATTATATAGAAAGATTGTCACTGATTAAGCTTTTTTCTGCTCTCTTTTCAGAACTTCAATGCGATCTGATTAAATTCTACAGAAAAAGGTGTAGTTCAATACCTCTCTCACCGCTTCTTGAAGAAAAAGAGACACCTCTAGCTGGGTTCTACGTGATGCCAGATATAGTCGCCGTAAAGCAGAAGTCCGAAATTTGTCATGAAGAGGAGAGAACACCGATCAAGTCTTTGGGTGACCTTTTCTCAACTGAAAGTGAGGATCAGCAAGAAATCTATTTATTAGCTGACGCAGGCTTTGGAAAAACTGCTTTTTCAAAATATCTTGCAATAGCGTGGTGTCAAGCTCATTGTCCAGACGAACAATGCGATGCTAATAAGTGTTTTGAGGATAATGAGTTAAAAGCTCTATCTAAGTTTGAGTTCTTATTTTTGGTTTTCTTAAGAGATCATACCTCTGTTTCTCACATTGACGATATGATTAGACAGCAATTTTCTTTGTATCTTCCTTCATTGAAATCGCTAGATGAAAGTTCATGTAAAGCAAAACTAAATGAAGTTTTAAGTAGAGAAAAATGCTTGCTTATATTGGACGGTCTCGATGAATGGAATCACCCAGGTAAAAGTTGTAGCGAAGTAACAGCAGAAATCCCACATAGGTGCGTACGTGATAACTGTGTGATCTTAACGACAACTCGACCGTGGAAGCTTGGAGTTTCAAATCTCAAAACAAGTCAAATGGACAAAAAAGTAGAATTGGTTCAATTAAGTGCAGATTCTACGCGGCAACTAGAAGAAAATGCTATAAGGAAAATGACCGGTGTCCATGACGATAGAGTATTGCAGAGTAAAAGACAGGACTTTAATAAATTGATACGTGACCGTCGCCTAGAGCACATGCAAGTGATTCCACTCCTCCTCATGTATATAGTTTGCCTATGGTGTAACAACATTCCTATAGGAAATTCAAAACATGAAATTTACACCAATATCATTGAATTTCTATTATCGAGAACGTCAAAGAAACACCCGGAAGTTCAACCATCTCGTGAATCGTCTGCCAGTGAAATTCCAGATTACTTCAAAAGTCATGAATTTTGTAAAAAGTTTTACAGTCTTATAACATCATTAGCAGAACTAGCTTACCAAACATTATTTAACGAAAACAGAGAAAACACGCTTGTATTTGATAGAACGGTTGCTGAAAAATATCTCAAAGCAGACGACATGAAATTAAGTCTTCTCTCAGGAATACTGTCAGAAAGTAGAAGTAAAACTTTAATCAAAGAAATTATCAAAGTATCGTTTTCTCACAAAACAGTGCAAGAATTCTTTGCCGCCATATTTATAAGTTCTCAAAGTGACGCTCAGAAAATTGTTGTAGAAAAATGTAGAAATGTTCAAGACATTCTGGACATGTCAAAAATTTGTGAATTTATAAGTAAAATGAATGCTGACCTGGTGTGTGCAATATCAAATGATTTGATGTCTGTGATAAATGAAGACGAGAAAACACGCGACTATAGAACTAGGACAGGTTACGAGTACATGTACAATAATCCATTGTATAACATACAGAAAATGTTCATGTCGTGTTTACAAGAAATGCCTGAAAGTGAAAATATTCAATTATGTTTACAAGATTTCTTCATTGAAGGGAACACCGACGTGCACAGTGAGCAGTTACAACGTTTATTAAACCAAAATAAAACCAACATAAAATCACTTAATATAGCAACCCTGATTACTTCCAGCAGTTTACGTGAAATTATAGATTTATTCTCTCTCACAGATCTTAGTCATATACAGAAACTTGTCTATTGTGGTGACAAGAAGGAGGCTGAGATAAGTCGGATATTATTTCCCAGTTTACAGTCCGTTACTTTGTTGCTTGGTACATGGAGAAATGATGAAGAAAATCTGAATGAAAACATGGCGCGATGTCAAAACTTACAATATTTAGATATTAGACTCTTCACGTTATCTCACAAAATACTGGAAACAATTTTCAATTTTATCTCAGGTCAAAAATCAATGAAAGAGTTAACATTGATCTGCTTATACTGTAAAGAACATGGCCGCCATGATTGTAAGAGATTGAACTTGGACTTGTCTCAACATTCAACTCTATCAAAGTTACACTTGGAGAAGTTACCTTGGAGGCTACAACTGAATATATCAACACCGTCATTAGTTGCTGTTACGTTGTCGGACATCAATCTAGATGAAAGTTCATTGTTACTGCCACGTGACATGGTGAATATTGAATGTGTGGAGTTGGAGTATATAGAAATGCCTGCAGGAAGTTTACAGAACTTAAAAACCGTGCTGGAAAATCTGCCGCAGTCAGTTACAGTAGCGATGAAAGCCATTAAACCGGAAACAGAATATGACCGTGTTAGAGAAAATATTCGGAGATCACAAACTTTTCATGTGATACAAGAAGACTGGAGGCAGCCATTTGAGTTCAAAACAATAAAACCAAGCAAAGAATAGACAAGAAAAAACATTGTGAAATAAATTGAAGAAGTTACTTCAATAATTTTAAATAAACAAAACAATTTAAATATGGACATTTAGAAACAAAATGGCGGTTCTTCGAACTACATTATAGTCTTCAATTAGGACATACATGTAATATACGTTTCCAATTAAAACATTAATTGACAATTGATTATAGATTTAAAAAATAACTGATATAAATAATTCATGGAAGTTTTTTACAAGTTTTTTACGGAACTTAATGGATATAAAAGTTGGACAAGGATATGGAAATATTTCACAGGTAAGAGATTTTATATTGAATGTTTAATCTTTAATTATTATTTTATTATACATGCATATGTAAGAACTGAAATAGATTATTCACAGTGAACACGATTCTTATATTTTCTTTTAATCGAATAAAATATTTGATATAAATAAATCAACATTAATTAAATATTTTACATGATTTGTTTTTATTCTGGAATTAGATTATTTTTGTAATAAAAATGAAGCATTTTATAAACATAGACTATAAACAGATACACAATACATGGCACGTGTTTATTAAATGGCACGTCACCACCTCTACATTAAACATAGTTTGAACCAGCGCATACATGTATATAGTTACATTAAAGTGAATATACATGTATGTTAAACTTTTCTTTATTTTTACTCCGGAAAGGTTATTTGTTTATTGTTTTAGTAAGATGTTATTGTTACGTCATATATTTAAGGTACGTATTTGTAATTTTATGATAAAGTCTATTTGAGCCGCGTCACGACAAAACCAACATAATGGGTTTGCGACCAGCATGGATCCAGAGCACCCTGCGCATCTGCGCAGTCTGATCAGGATCAATGCCGTTCGCTATCAGTTTCTCTACTTGTTGTTAGGTTTGTAAGCGAACAGCAACATCCGCATCCGCGCAGTCTGATCAGGATCCATGCTGGTCGCAAACCCATTATGTTGGTTTTGTCGTGACGCGGCTCATTTATCCTCTAAATGTGAACCAAGCGTGTTCAATTACAGTCCTGGGGTCTAAATGTGGCCTCCCAGGGAGTTCAGTGAGTTTCTTTTTTTTGTTAATAGATATAACTGTAAACATCTTCTTTAAAAACACAAGAGATAATGCATACAAATTTGGTATGAAACATTATCTAGTGTACCCCTACCAAGTTAATATAAGCATAGCCGTGGCGTAAAAAAGGCTGGGCTCCATGGGGGATTGGGTAATGGCTCATAGGTTTTTCCATATATTTTGCAATAGAAACTAGTGACTTCCATACCAGTCATTGAATTTCTTTTGCAACCTGTAATTTCCATAGTTATCCCTTGTAAAGTTACCAGTGACTTTCATAGCAACCATTGACTTTGCATAGCAACAATAGTATACAACAAGATACCTTTTGACTTTTCATAGCAACCATTGTTTTTCCATAGCAACCTATGACTTCCACAGCAAGCATTTACTTTTGACTTAGCAACCAGTGACTTCCAAAGCAACCATTGAATTTGTGCACTATTTCAGATGCAGAAATAAACTTTGTAATCTTATCAGCTTAAGATTTGTTTTTTTTCTGCTTTTCATTCATAATTTACAACATAAATCAACTGTTCTTGTCATTAAGAGCCTTTATGATCATAATTTAACTACATGTAGATATAAAATAGTAAGATAATGTTTTGCATAAATCCCCTATTAATAATATAATTTGCGTTTTTTGTCATTTCAGCGGCATTGGATCATCATGCAAAACCTCTTGTGACGTTTACCATTATGATTTGTGTGGTGATAGATCAATTTTATTGGGATGATTGGATATGTTTTGAACAACTTCTTTGGAAACAGAAGTTTCATGTTTCTTGCATGTCAAGGTAAGACTTTAAATTACCCTTTTTATTAACAAAAGAAAGTGATAAAAAGTGTTCGTATTTCTTGCAAAAAAAACAAAAACAAACAACAACAATAGCCTGAATCGCAGTATTTAAGAGGTGCTGCCAGTTTCCTATATGCCTGCATTAAATTTTTTTAGTGAACTAACTAGTGTAGGTAGCCGACAAATTTCACATAAACAGCGCTATTGTGTTTAAAGTAGCACACCTTTAATGGAAATCTATAGTATCAGTATGATAGAAATAGGTCCAGCTACGCAAGCTATAAATTATTATAATGAATATGATTGAATTGTTTAGCTTTAAATATGTGCTTCTTACATGTTTATAATTTACTTTTTTAAAGATGAAAAATGTTATTTACTGACTTTTGTATTCAATATATTTGTATTTAAGTATACTAAAACAAAAGAAAAGATATAAATTTTTTCTTTAAGTATCAATATTGATTCATGTCAACAAAGATGTTATTAAAAAAGTAAATGACTCTAAGGGTTTAACTCTATACAGGACTGGAGCAGTACCTGTAGACGCTTTCAGAAATCGTGATCACAAAATAGACAAATACTTTTTCCGCCGATTCTTACATTTTATGCCCCCACAATGTGGGAGCATATAGCGTTGCACTTGTCTGTCCGTCCGTCCGTCCGTACGTCCCAAAATCTTGTGAACGCAACTCCTCTTAAACCGGATGGCAGATTTTGCTTAAACTTACAGGGATGAACAACCTTAATGTGTAGATGGTAGGAAAGAAAGGAATTTTCGCTGCGACCAAATTTAAGAGAATTATGGCCCTTTGTTGATTTTTTCACTATATACTATGTAGAAATTTTGTGAACGCAACTACTCTTAAACCGGATGACAGATTTTGCTTAAACTTCAAGGGATTAACAACCTTAATGTGTAGATGGTAGTAAAGGAAGGAATTTTTGCTCCGACCAAATTTAAGAGAATTATGTCCCTTTGTTGATTTTTTCACTAAGTACTATGTAGAAATTTTGTGAACGCAACTCCTCTTAAACCGGATGACAGATTTTGCTTAAACTTCCAGGGATTAACAACCTTAATGTGTAGATGGTAGTAAAGGAAGGAGTTTTTGCTGCGACCAAATTTAAGAGAATTATGGCCCTTTGTTGATTTTTAGTTTTCAACTTGTTGCACATGTAGTCCAAAAAATATTTGACCTAGAGTCATAAGATTGACAGAACAGTAGCGTGTGGGGGCATCTGTGTCCTATGGACACATTTCTAGTTCATTCATTATTATACTTAAAATGTATAAAAAGATGAAGTTCATCTTTAGCATGCAACGGCAAGATTTTGGCATTCAATCGCATTGTCCGGTATATACCGGAATACGGTATTTAGTGTTGTGCTTCACAGTTAAATAGGCAATTTTAATGGTAATTTTCATGTTAAAAGAAGATATTAGATAATAGTTTTGGCGCAAAATGCACAAAAAATAATTGGGACAAGGGCAATTGCAAATGAAAAGGTTAAATCAACGTATGTAAATCTGGTTATGTATCGTAACGGGTCTGCTGCTGCAGCAGATGAAAAACAAAACTATTAAAAAGCGGCATATGTATACGTTAAATTTTATAAGTACGTAATTACAAAATTGCGACCATTTTAATTTTGTAAATACGTACTAATAAATTTTAACCGCCTTAGTGTTTTAAATTCTTTTTCTAAACAGTGGATTTACTAAACAGATTAATAGTTTGCTGATTTACCAAAGTAAATGTAATTGAAATACTGCAATTCTATTGTGCAAAAAAAATAATTTCAAACACTAAAGATTTTTGGAAGCCAGAACAGACGGAAAGTCCGTTGTTCTATTCGCACATCAGTTTAATTCCATTTGGCTTATAGAAGGTCTGTGGTTCTACTCGCACATCAGTTACATTTCAGTTGGCTTATTGAAGGTCCGTGGTTCTACTCAAATGTCCGCACGTACCTAAATATGTGTTTCAGTTCGCAGTAGGTATTTGCTCTAGAAATCCGCTCCTGCCAAAATTTTAACACAATATATCCAGTGTCTGTTTATCTACTGTACCATAGGTAAAACAGAACATAAAACGTCAATGTTACTTGGAAAATATAAAAACAAGTGTAAGAATAAAATCATGCTATCTATACTGTTACAAAATGTTTTGATTAACTTATTTATCATTTCTTCTTCTCTTTCCATAAAAGGAGCTTCAGTAAAACTACAGTGAAAATGATGACAATGCTTCAATCACGACTTGACACCTAGTTCCTGGCATTACAGAAACATACACGAAAGAAAATTGCTCCAAGATAGTTTCGTACAATCTTCTGACTCTTGGCTTAACCGGAAACGGACAACAAACTTTTGCATTGATTATACCATTTACTTTTTTTCTTCAAGGGGAATGTACGTGTAAAAAGATACCACAACCAAGGTTGCTGTCAAATATATCCCTGGGTTCCTTCAAAATATGTTTAGTGAATTATGGTCATACCGTAGAAATTTAAATCAAAATTCAGGGTGAAAACCTTTATTGATTTAAAAACATCTTATTGAATTAATTTGATTGCTTTATCAAATATTGGACATAAAGTATAGAGGGATAAGCAACTACCGACTGGATAAACTGTCTTATGTTTGCCTCCAATTGAAGCCGCTCTCCGATAGAGTTTTAAAAAAAATCATTCGCCATTTGCCTTATACTTTTCTTATTTACATTAATTACAACGGGCAAAAATATACACGTTCACAACTATAAAAAAAGACAAACGAGCCGTGTCACAACAAAACCAACGTAATAGGTTTGCGACCACCATGGATCCAGACCAGCCTGTGCATTCGCGCAGTCTGATCAGGATCCATGCTGTTCGCTTACAAATCCTATTACAAGTAGAGAAACTGATAGCGAACAGCATGGATCCTGATCAGACTGCGCGGATGCGCAGCCTGGTCTGGATCCATGCTGGTCGCAAAACCATTATGTTGGTTTTGTCATGACGCGGCTCAAATTTAATTGTTTGGTGGAAAAGATAACGTAGTCTCCAGTTGCTTGTCCCATTATATTTTGTCCTAGATCCAATGAAAACGGACGTTACATATAAACTTTATAATAAGAGCAATAATCATTTTATTTAATTAGATATGCATATATAGATTTCTTTAGCAATTTAAGAGTAAAATGATACAGCAAGAATTATTAGACAAAAAGTAATCTATCATTGAGATTATTGTTAAATCTGACAAATTATATGTTCTTAAAGTCTAAGTCTTATAATTGCATGTATTGAATTTTTGTAGTGTAGTTTGATTATTGTTTTTTACTTTTTGATTTGTGCAAAAATAATTGCAGTTGTAACAATAAGAAACTTTGAAAGGATGCCTCCAAAAGAAAATTTTAAAAATATGTATACATGTGATTTTTTGCTTTTTGTGATATCTGAACATGATTTTTCAAATTTATATAATTGTACATAATATAGATGTTTATTAATTGTATTATTAATATAACGATGTTGTCATGTTACACTCGCGCAGTGTCCCGGGTTATACATTTACAATTATTTGTATCATAGTTTGGGGACCTTTCTGTTGAAAATGTGACAGAGTTAAATCGTATACACATACATGCACAGTGCGTTAACTGGAGTGCAGGTATTAGTTACCTGCACTCTAGAGCATGCCCATTGATTGGTTTATTTTGTCCAGGGTTTACATATTGTGCCGACAAATAAATGGATAGCGATTGAATTATCATATTCAAATGCTCGTTCATTGGTTACCGTTTTGTGGGGTTTCATATTGTGGTATCAAGGAACGTGTTTTTATGTTTGACTATGATACAAAACAGAAAGAACATCAAAACACTCGGCAATCTGATTTATACTTGGGGGCTATGTCCCCTCGTACAAATTAGATAGCCTCGTGTTTCAATGTTCTTTTTGTTACTTATATAGCGCATGTAACCTGTTGAAAATATATTTAACTTAGTACATTTTGTATACTAGTATAACATTCAAAATCTCCTAATTAGATCCTTGCATTCAAGGAAACAGAAATCATCATTTATTTTGCTTAGATGTGTTTATCAGTAGAAGGTTTGTTTGTATACATTAAAGCTCCAAAGAGCTAATTTCTTAAAAACTTTTTTTTATTTTTGCCGTCGCTTTGTGCCATAAATAGGTTACTGTATTTTGATTTTGTTGAATTACATTGATTTAGTATTTTGTATGGAAGTCAACAAAAACTATAGTGTTTACATTTTGCTACCTTACAACACATAACTGTACATTCAACTTTAGTTTCTTATGTTGTTTAACATCTAACATAGACTAGAGCGCTACTCTAAATCCATTATTATATATTATTGAACACAAGTTTGACCTGTCTAAAGAATGGAAAAAAAAATAATTTCTTTTATCTGTGGCATTATGTGCTCATTTATTTTTTGCAAATCCATGTTCTAGTGTTGTTGTTTTTTATAAATGTCATTTTGATGGTTTGTTTAAAGGCTCATTAGGCTTCAGAAATGGTATCATTTTTATTTCTAAATAAAACTGTTTATTTTGTAGGCATTTATAACAGTTTCGAAACACATACTTATTTGTTTTATACATGAATTTTCGTTTGCATCTTTAATCTGATGATAATTGGTAAAACACTAGTGAATAAGTTATTCGTATGGAAGTCAAAATACTACTTTATTTTCATTTTTTTTTCTCGTAAGACATATAACCGCATGTTCCGTATATTACCGTATGTTCTGTATCATTTTTTAGTTTTAAAACATCTCAAATGCAATTATCCATTATTTAAACATAATTATTAAACACATATTTTACATTTCTAAAGAGTTAAAGAAATATGGATTTCTGAGGCATAATGTGCCTTTCAGTTGATTCAAGTTGATATATAGTTGCATATATAAAGTTATTGAGTACCTGTAATTTTGTCTTATTTTTTCCACATTATTATGTTTATCTGCATACATT